TATAATACAAGTATGTACAATTCTAAACTACTGGGCAATAATAATACAAATAATAGTAGTAGTAGTAGTAGTAGTAATACACATACATAAAAAGTATTCAATGCAAATATTAATACTGACAATTTATTTATATATTTTAATTAGTTATAAAAAATAATATAATTAATGTATAATTAATACATATATTATACTAATATCTGCGCAAGTAAAATTCTGAACTAATGGGCCAGCAATAATACTTACTAGTAATAGCCTAAATAAACTGTCGTTGGGCACTTAAATAATAACCATAATTAATTGCAATACTCCAGAGGAGAAAACTCAGATCTGGTCAGAGCAACACTAAAGCTCTCACCTTGCGAGAACAGCAATACATTTCGGATATTTGAGTCAATTACAATCCTGTATAGAAATTAGAGCCCGACCGATAAAGGATTTTGAAGGCCGATACCGATACAAATATTTTTGGTTTTTAAAATCCGATATATCGGCCGATATTTTTTTATTAAATATTGTTGGATTTCAGCACACACGTGTAAAAGAAAAGCTTGATAGAAGAAAAAGATACGTTTGATACTTTTTCTCTATGTCTAAAAAATGTTCACTCCTCGCAAGTCTAACTTACATTTTACAATGCAGGGACTGTAACTACAGATATGCTAGTTATAAATACAGTAATCATTACTTTAATTAGGCAGAAAAAGTTCATTGTGGTTTCCAAGCTCATTAATGTTAACGTTAGCGGCCTTCCACTGATGATAGTGGCATATAGCTTTGTGGAGCCATAATTTAGCAATAGATAACATCATACTGCAAATTGTAAAACATACATTTTCAATATAACAGGCCAAGGAGAGATGATTGAAGCGTGTTTCGTCTGTTTTTATTTAATTTTTTTAAATATTAATTTATCGGCCATTATGACTGCCGATACCGATATTTTGGAAAATGCCTAATATCGGCCGGCCGATATATCGGTCTGGCTCTAATAGAAATAATCAAAACTGATAGCCCAAACTTGTGCTAGTCACTTGATGACATCAATGATGATCAGAGGTCTGATATCAGATGGATGTGGGAGTGGAGACCCCGAGGGCTCAGTGTAACGGATGCTGTGCGGAGAGAGGACAGAGGCAGCAATGAGGTCAGAGAAAGACAATCACGGTGGAGAAAGCAGCCAGTGTCTCTCAACAACAGAGGCACTATTCAGCCTCTCAATCACATACCACCAGTTTGCATGTTTATGAGCAATGCAAAGCCATAAACAAATGCAGCAGAGTTTCACAGCATTACAATCAGAGCTGCCCTTTCCACTGTGTCAGGACAAACTCAGCATACGGGCATCAATATACAAGTAGCAGCAGCAATGATAATGTCTAAGAGCCATTTATGATTATGAATCATCAGATCTATAACAATAAAGGCAGCATCCCGCTGACAGATAGTCATCATGGAAACTTCAAAATGTAAACAGTAGGTCCATCCATCATTATCATTCAGTCTTTAGTACACTGTACAAATACATCTAATTAAACGGCTGTTTACACACGGATAAATCAGTCTGGAGATGATAAACTGCACGTTCACTTACAGCATGTTTGTATTTCATATCACAATAAATGTACACATCTTAATAGACATTACACATGATCACAATGGACAGAAATAGACAAGCTCTCCTGGTGACACCCCTATTACTCACAGATTACACACCCCAGAGGTACAATACTAACACACACACACATGCATTTCTACATTGGTGAATATGAAGATGACTTGTTAACTGCTTCATCACCTGCAGCCAAACTTCTACAGTCAAACCCATGACTTGGGTGGAAACTAATAAACTTGGATCAAAACAGTTGCGTTACAAAGTTAATTTACTTGAATCGGTTACAGTAAACTGACAAAGGTTTACCTAACCCCTTATGTTGTGTTGAAAAACAGGAAGTGTTTATTTTGACATGAACTTAAGTTAGCAGAAGAGCTAACAGCTCACTTACCCTCCCAACAGGCCAGGATGAGCAGCCAGCCCGAGAAAACTCTTCCGACCGCAACAACAACAAACCCAGGGGACAGAAACACGCCTACCGACCCCAAATCAGTCCCCCAAAACTTATCGATCGCTGTCAAGCATGAGAGTCCGCTGAAGAAACTCTTCCAGCCCGGGTGCTGGTTAACGGTGGCCCAGCAGCTCTTCACTCTCCCGGGCTACTGCTGCTAAAGATGGCGTCCGAGACAGATCCACTCCCTGACGGCTTAAAAACAGAGATAAACACGGTCCCTTTTTAGACCGACGGCGGGACCACTTCACAGATTCTGTCCGAAATGCTCGAGGCTGTTGTTTTTTGAACCAGTGTGTTTGGGCTGTGGGGTGATGATCATGTTGTGATGGTGGCTGTGATTTTTCTCTCTCTGCCCTCCTCTAGTGATGTCCGATTCGCCAACGAATCATTATTTTTGAACCGAATCATTATTTGACTCGCTCGAGCCGATTCGCAATGCGCTTGAGCGACCTGGTCAGGGTGCGAATTATTGTTCTCTAAAAAGTTTCTATTTTCATCCCCTAAAACATATTTTTAAATAGGTTCATTTTTTTCTATACACAGTAGTACGCGTTTATAGCGTTCACAAGTAACGTTGTAGTATCCATTCCATCCACACACTTTTCTGTACCATTAGTCGTTTGTGGAGGTAATCAATGGTAGTCCCACGTAGCTCTATTTTTGGCTACTTAAACAAAAGTTAATACAAAAATGGTATTTTTCTAAAAAAAAAAAAAAATTCTAAAATTTGTTACTAAAATAGTTTCTAGAGCGCTTTGGAGTGGCGACTTAAACGATTCTATGATTCATTTTTTTTTTAACCTGTTCAAAAGAGAGAGCTGATTCACTTTCGCCTTGGTTCCTGGAACTCCCTTTTCGCCCTCCCAATGTGGAAAACTCCCACCGGCCCCAAGAGACAGAGCATTAAAACCCCTATATAGTAAACATCTAGCCTATAGCCTACACATAAATATGTTCTTTATCAATATTTAAGACATTTGCTATTTAAGACGTTTGCTGGGGCTGCCAAAATCTTTTATAAGTTTTATAAGTAATAAGTTCAGTCATGGTTATTTTCCTATAGAGGAGCATTAAGATATCCCACCCTGACCCATTATGATGTTAATTGCAGCATGGCAGTTCTAGAGAGGTAAACACAGATGAAATCAGAGGAAAATGTAATGAAACGTGATTCCTGTAAATTAAGCAGCATTTTGATTATATTTGTTGGAACATTTTGAGGAACACATTTCATTTTGAGGAAGGAAGTATATCGCATAAAGTTATCATTTGTAAAAGTAAAACATTTTGGAAATTTAGAGATTATAATTATGAGTGCGTATGATGATGATGACTATATAAATGATGGTTAAGGATTTTTTTTCTTGTGTGTCTGAAGTTTGAAACCCCACCACCACTCACACGAATGGATTTGAAGATAACTAGGACAAGCAGAGAACAACTCATAAAAATCAAATGTAAAGGATTACAGCTTGCCTCTGTTGTAATCCCAACCAAACTTAGTGATGACAATAAATGTCACCACAGTTTAAGCCTATGCACAGAGCTGTTGGTTTTCTTGGTATTCTTCAATATTGGCAATCATTGCTTTTATGGATCAGTAAGAGGTTAAAGTTGATCCCTGGGCAAAATTATTACAGTGATGTCAACAAGCCTGCAAGCAACCAATTGGTAAACAGAGCAGAGAACTAGCGCTCTGGGTTGGTTCTGAAGCAGCTGTCTCTCTCAGCCAATGAGAGTGCGGGATGCTGTCACTGTATCCAGGCGAACAGAGGGGTTTGAGATGTATGGAGCCTGTTTTATGAATGGGATTTAAAGAGCCATGCTTCATCCTGTCGATGAGTTAGAGAGACACTGGTGTGTTATTATAATTTAACACAAAACAACAAAGAAATTCCACAGGGACTAAGTGAGTTGACAGCCCACTTTATATGGCTAAATGAACTCTCTTGGTGTTTATCATATGTTTGGAGAAGATCTAAAATAGCTTTCTGTGTGTGCTGGCCGGGAATGATTTATTATTTCCTCTTTATAATCTATTTTTAAAATGGACTATGACTATGAATGTAGGATAAATTTGTTTGTTTTCTTATTTTATGGCATTTTTATGACAAAATAAAAATAACTTTGAAAAATGAAAAAAATATGCATCAGAAAAGCTTGTTGAAATTAAATGGCTCAAGAAAATATAAGTTCTGTCCAGCATAGATGGAAATGAAACATGTTTGCTTTGTCTCTACCTCCCAGGATTTCCTGATAAAAACAGAGAATGAACCCACATACGCTATAAACCCAGCTCACAGTCTTAAAAAAATAAAAAAATAATATATATATATATATATATATATAGTTTATTTTTTTTATTTTTTAAGACTGTACGCTGGATTATGTATATATATATATATATATATATATATATATATATATATATATATATATATATATATATATATATATATATATATTATTTATTATTATTATTATTATTATTATTATTTTAAAATCTTACTGGTCATAAAAATTTTTAGATACATTTTTGGGAGTAAAAATGTCCATTGACAGTTCACCATCTAGTGAATCTCATGAAATGGGTCCAGGAATTGGCTTTATGCCCAGCTGCACTACTTCCTGAAGCTCCTTGTTTCCTGTATCTGCCATTATCAATAATTGGACAAACTTGATTATTCGATTATTGATTATTATTTGATAATTGATTATTAATTACTTGATTATTTCCAATTGTTCCAATTGGACAAACTTGATTAAATCAGGTGTGTCTGATTATTGTTGCCGTGACCACTGAGGTCAGGCACACCTGAATTAATCAATTTGTCCAATAATGGCAGACAGGAAACAAGAAGTTCAGGAAGTAGTGGAGCTGTGCATGAAGCCAGTTGGTCCTTTTGTCTCCATGGCATGAAAGTTCCGCTGAACAACAGTAGGTGGCAGTCAGGTACTTTATTACTCCGTGGCGAAGGCGATTCTGCAGAAGGAAAGCCAGGCGCGTGTATATGACGTCAATAAAGTTTACATGTGTGGCATGACAGAAAATGGCTGCAGCAGATGAACAGCAGCAAGTTCACAGACCTGGAGCTTATAAACAGAAAAACAAACAGCACAAGCATGGAAAACACCGAACTAAAGGCGAGATCGGGCGGGAGAATAAGGGTATGTCTGACGGGTTTATTCACAAATAGAAATGCGCGAACCGTCACGTGGACAATGCCTGTCTGACTGAACACGTGTTTAAAGGTCCGAGCAGTAATCATTGAGACTAATGAAAAAAATGTATGTCTGTGTGTGTGAATACAGGTATATACCTTATATATATATACCTTATATATATATACCTTATATATATATATATATATATATATATATATATATATATATATATATATATATTGAGAAAGAAAGAAAGAAAGAAAGTAACTTATACGTTTAACTTCTACGTTTCTAATAACTTAAGCCAGCCTAAGATATCTGCTGGTCTCAGCCTGAACGATCCAAAAGCCCCAACGCCCCTCTAAAACCAGTCTGAGAGACCAACCAACCGTAGTCTGGTTCTCATTGATATACTATTCTTGCTTATAATGTTTGGATCATTTCTTTTTTATAATCATTATGCAGTATATTTGTTTAGTGTAAGAACCGTAAACTTGACCCTGTACATCAATCAAATTAGGTAGAGTTGCTGTCATGGCTCTCACCAAGAAACAGAGAAGAGTGATAAGGAAAATGGACCGCAGAAACAAAGCCAACCAGCTGCGTCGCAACAAAAAAGACTCGGTAAAGTGACATTATTAGACTTACTTGGTTTACAGATTGGCCATTAGTTGAAGGACTAATCTCCTTTGGGTTGTTGATGATGACAGGTGCTGACAGAGAAAAGGAAGCTGGGCAGCAGGGATGGACCCCCTCATCTGGTGGCAGTCATAGCCCTTCACGCACGAGTGGATCCTGGAGCTGTCACCAAAATATTGAGAGGTGAAGGACTTGATGGCGTGGTGCACGAGGATCAAGGAGTCACTGGGGCTAAGAACAGTTTTGGTCTCGTTCTACCCCGCTTTAAACAGAGATTCACTTTCTACACACCAGACACAGGTAACACTTTTAGCAAAGGAATAAATGTTTAAAACATTATTATGGAATTAAACATTATAAATGTTTTTACTATAACATTTGATCATGTAATGCATCCCAGTTGAATACAATCTTACTGATCCCAAACTTTTGAACATTAGTGTCGATTTAAGCCATGCTCTCAACTGTTTGAATGGAATTCGATAACAAGACTTTTGACCAAATTAAAAATTATGCTAATAAAAATGTCATGTTTCAGTTGCTTTTAATCCGCTTCTTGAATTTTTAGTGTATGTATGAAGTCACTAACCTGTTTGTAACTTTGTAAAACGTTTGACCTGAAAAGTATGTTTGTGTTTATGGGATGCACAATATAAAGACAATACTATATTTTGGCTCTAAATCAGTTATAAGCTGATATTGGAGTTTTTTTTTTTTTACTTATTTTTTAATTTACATTTTACACTTTAGTATCAGTTGATATTGGATACCCAATTGAGTATAGAAAGTAGTATAGACTTTTCTTCTTATTATTAAATATCTTTTGGATAAGCCCTACTTTGGTTTGATGATATTTTATTATAAAAGGCAATTGGAACTCTTTTAATTATGGTTTAAGCCCTTTTTTTGTCTTAAAGGACTTTAAAAGGGGCTAAAAAAATCTTCTTTTGCCTCTCTTCAGCTGATATGCATTCACTCCTGGATGTAGCGAAGGTTGCAGACAGTTTAGTGTTTGTGTTAGAGTCGACTGAAGGTTGGGACAGCTATGGAGACTACTGCCTGTCCAGCCTCTTTGCCCAGGGGTTACCAAGTCATGGTGAGAACTAAATCAAATCTGCACAAATATTGGATACGAGTGCCACGATTGACAAATCGTAATCAATTCTTCTTCCTTTTTGCCCTGCAGCACTGGTGTGTCAGGGAGTGGCTGATCTAGCGGTGAAGAAACGCACCGAGTCTCGAAGGGCGCTCTCTCGCTTGGTAGAGTCTCGTTTCCCAGAATCGCGTCTCTTCCCTGCGGACAGCGAGCAGGATGCCACACTATTGCTGAGGCACCTGTCGGCACAGAAACAGAGACGGCTGGGTTTCCGCTCACGACGTTCATACCTGCTGGCTCAGCGAGCCACATATATACCAAACTCCAGCCAGAATGGGACAGGGGGCCCAGACACAGGGTTAGGAACCCTCTGCGTGTCAGGATATGTTCGAGGCTGTCCTCTACAAGTCAACAGGCTGGTGCATATCACAGGTCATGGAGACTTCCAGCTTAGCCAGATCGATGCTCCTGTAGACCCTCTACCCATAGTGACCGCAGCCCCTCGCCCAGCGAAGCCAGGACGAGATGTAGAGATGACGGTTAGGAGGCTACGTCACTATGTTCACTTTTGAAGACTGCATTTTTTTGTTGTAATGGTGAATTTATAGTGCAATTTGTGATTAATTAATTAATTATTTCCAAGTTCAACACTGAATCCTAACTAGGAGCAACAAGCATTAAAAGCAGTTGTTCTCCACTTTTTTGACTCCAAGGCCCACTATTGTCCACAAAAATATTAGAAGCCCCCCCCTTCACATAATTTGAAGACTTAATGATGCCCATAATATTAATGGTCCTCCTAATTCATGGAATAATATTGTTCCCCTTAAGGAATTATGGTTACACTTTACAATAAGGTCCCATTTGGAATGCATTGATTATCAGTAACACTGAGCAATACATTTGTTACAGTATTTTGTTAATCTTTGTAGTTAATAAAAACGGAAATTTTCATTGTTGGGTCATTAGCTGAAGTCCATTAAATTGAAAAGTTATACATTTTAATATTTAATTGTTTAGTAATTTTAAATCAAAAAATTATAATTCATTATAAAAATGCCTATGGTATTTTGAGATTATATCAATTGACATGACTTGTCCAAGTCTAGAAATCACTCTTTTGAAAGGAATTCAAATTTAAAGTTTATGTCTATGGCCCCATGGTTGAGAACCATGGAATAAAATTCCGAAGTGGACCACTTGTTGGTCCAAAATCAAATCCTGTTCCTTACAACGGTTTTAAAACCCAACTGTGTTCTTATTGGTTGTGTTCTTACTCTGTCCTGTAGGATGGTGGGGATGGAGAGATTCGGGTGTTAATGAAAGCAGACCCTGAGAAGAGAGAGAGCCTGCAGGCGGAGGCAGAGGTGGATCCCATGGATGGGGAGCAGACGTGGCCCACAGAAGCAGAGCTGGAGGAGGCAGAAGGTACCGTTTTTACCATGAGCTCTTGAGCCATGTTCACAGCAGTGTGTCCACTCACTATGCAAATGAGCAATATTGTAATGTGGCGGCTGTCAGGTGTTGGCATATTAGTGAGCAGTTCATTGTTCTTTATGATTTTCTAGATTGATTCATGGCTTGCATTTATAACTTTTCATCTGTGTGTATGTGTTATAGTGATTGATATGCATTTACCTTTGTTTAGATGGCATAAAGAACGCGAGAGTGATGAAGGTACCAAAGGGGACATCTGACTATCAGGCCATATGGATCAATGATGATGCTGAGGAGGAAGAGGATGATGATGATGATGTTGACAGTTGTGATGATGACGAAGATGGGATGATGGATGATGAAATGGATGGTGATAATGAGTCTCAGGTAAGTTTTTATTATTTTGGCTCAAGCCGTCACATGTTTTTGAAGCATTTCCTTTAGAGGGAAGTCAAACTACAGCCTCCTTTGTCATAACCAAACACCTACAAATGGGAAGCTAGTCCACCAAAATAAATCACATGGGTACTGTGAACAAGCATGAATATAGATTTTACAGATGTCTTATTTTTTTCCACGCCCTGAGATGCATGACACAGGTTTTGCATAAATCACACGGAGAACCTAATGTACATGTCAAATATACGTTTTCATACATGTTTTCAGCGTCTTGTATTGGCTCAGTTCACAGTCAATGTAGCTCCATCATTTGATAACGCAACGTTCGCCTCCCGTAATGAGAATGTAAATAATTCTGCAAAATTTATGCAAAAGAGAAGTTGAATGTTAAAATTATATCGTTGTTTGCTAAAAAAAATGTTATTATTATAAATAAATACTTTTTATTTTACAGTAGTATTATTGTAATAGTAATATAATATTAATAAATACATATTATATCATAATAATGATAATTATTGTTATTTTATAGTTATAATTGGGGGAGGGATGGAGTCAGCATATTTTCCTTTTTTAAATGTTTTTAGATGATCACATTCCTGATTCTAGGTTTGTTTTTGTATACCTGTTGTTTGGCAACCTGCGATGTGGCAGCAGAACTTGGCAAAAGCGTGTTAAACCCGAACAGATCTGACTGCCCCGTAATGATTGAAGGACTAAATAAAGTCAGAAGGATGAGATGGAGGGTGGGCACGGTGCGGGCGGAACACTGCATACGTGACTATGCGCTGTGCGGCGGAGAGGCACTGTTTGTTTTCTCAACGTCTGCTGCTTGGCCTTAGTGCCAGGCATCTCGACGCAACAATAGTGTTTGGAGAGGGTGTCCCGAGAGAAGCCTTTTGTCTTCCTGCTCTTTAGACAGAACTTCCTGTCGAGACTTGTGGGGGGAGGCGGCCATTTATTTATACCAGCTGGGCTTGAAAGAACAAGGGGAAGCTTGACACGTATGGAAGCTCTGGTCCATTTATTTTCTTTAATCATAATTAGCATGCGTTTGATGTCTTGGGGCGCACCAAAGGAGACTTTTCAATGCGAGATGTTAACAATAGGGAAGTGGTACTACAGATGATTACGGAGATTATTTTTATTACTGCACCTGCCATTGTTCTACAGGTTGACCCCACAGGGGGGTGAATGCACCCCAGCGGTATGTCTTGTCTTTTTCCCTATCTCAGCAACTATGCTGTCTGTTTGGTGGACTTCAAAGAAATGGCCTGTTTTGTTTGGGTTTGCTGGACTCTATGTGGATGCATGTCTGGAGAAATGTTTTTACATTTTACATGCTTCTCTTCCTCTCTAAGGACGCTGGTTCTGAATGCGCATCTGAAGGAGATGACGATGTGGAAGAAGAAGAAGAAGAAGAGGAGGAGGAGGAGGAGGAGGAGGAGATCAGTTCCTCCGGGCACACCGGAGGCGATCAGAAGTATGACAAAGAAATTGACGAGGCTGAGGAGGGAGAGGGGCTGAGGAGGTACAGAGAAGCACGTGCTAATGAGATGTTCCCAGATGAAGTCGACACTCCCCTAGACGTCCCGGCCAAGACACGGTAAGAACCATAACAGTTCCAACAATGTATCTGTCAATGTTAGGTGGCATAGTTCACCTAAAATTTGTAATTTTTATCTAATTTTACTTGCCATCATGTTGTTCGCACCTCTTAGGGTTTTGTTCCGCCCCATGAAACACAAAAATTACAAAAAAAAAAAGCTATTTTCCATGCAATGACCGTTCATAATTGGCATGTATTAAAATTGGCTGTTACTGATAAACCAATAATTATTTTTATGTAATGGCCATTATTAAAGTGTGTTATTAAAATGTAAAAATAAAACACTAAATACTGAAATCCATCCTTTTGAATGCTACAATTCAATTTAGGCATCACAACATTATAATATATAGTATGGAAGTATTGGTATTCAATGGGATTACATTTAACAGTGTTAAGGTAATATACATTTTGCAAACATTTAAAATAAACATGGTTGATATGATAGCCTCTAATATTGGCTGATAACTGATATATGGTATCGATATATTGAATTGTGTACGTGTTTGTGTGTGAATTGTCTTTTAAATATAGCTTTACATTGCTATTTAAAAGAAAAAAAGATATCTTACTGACGCCAGACGTTTTAACGGTAATGTACACAAGGTTTCTACTCGACTAACTGGTCTGATCTGCATGTTCAGGTTCCAGAGGTACAGAGGTCTAAAGAGTTTCCGTTCCTCCCCATGGGACCCCCTGGAGAACTTGCCCCCCAACTACTCGCGCATCTACCAATTCCAGAATTTTGAGCGCATGCGTCGCCGAATATTTGCAGATGCTGCTAGCGAAGAGGAAGGAGCGATGGTTTGTATGGGAGAGGGGGTGTGGGCTAGAGTTCTCACAAATCTGTTTTTTTTCCCCCAAAAATGTTGGTGTTTCACTGTTTACCCAAGGAATTTGTTAGACAATGTCTGTCTTACCTGCAGGTAGGCTGGTATGTGACTCTTCATATTGTGGACGTTCCTCCCTCAGTAATGGAGAGCTTTCTGACCGGAAAGCCATTAGTGATGGTTTCCCTGCTACCACATGAACAGAAGGTACTTAGAGCTTCTCAAACATTTTAAGTTCCCAAACGGTAAAATTAAGTGGATGTTTCAGTTTTGAAATACAGTGCTACTGCTCAGTTTAAATGCGCTTTCACAAATAATTAAAGTCACTATTGAAATCTCTTTGCAGATGTCAGTGATGCAAATGTTGGTGCGGCAGCACCCGAGCAACACAGAACCCGTCAAGTCTAAAGAAGAGCTGGTGTTTCAGTGCGGATTCAGGCGCTTCAGAGCCTCAGCCATCTTTTCACAGCACACTTCTGGTAATAACAGCCTACAGAGAGCATCATGTTTTTCAGAGGACTTCTTTTATAGCAGGGGCTTTCATAGATTTTGATACTACAGACCCCTCAAAGTGAAAAGTGACCCCTTTGCACTTTCCTCTGGACTCTATCAGTCTCTGGACCCCAGTTTGAAAACCCCTGCTTTACAGGACTACCAAGTCTCGCAGTATGGTTGATTTGTATCTGAAAAAATGAGGGTCATTAGGGTCAACGATACCTTAAAACAAAGCCTTTTTGTCTGTCCACATGATGAATCGGACAGGGTTAAATTCATTTTCCTGTGTCCTCAGCTGATAAACACAAGTTGGAGCGGTTCCTGCGTCCTGATGCTCCTACAGTGATGTCTGTCTATGCCCCCATTACCTTCCCCACAGCTGGTGTCCTGGTCTTCAAACAGAGAGACAATGGTGGGAGAAGCAGACACAACATTTGATTCAAAAAGAGAACTGCCTTCACCAGTATAGCATGTGGTTCAGCTTTTTTGTTTTGCCTTTACCACAGGTATGCAGGACCTGGTGGCCACAGGTACTCTTTTGAGCTGCGATCCTCGGCGAGTGGTTTTGAAGAGAATTGTGCTGAGTGGACACCCTTTCAAAATTAACCGGCGCTCTGCTGTGGTCCGTTACATGTTCTTCAACAGAGGTGAGAACGGAGGCGTTAGTCATTTCCTCTGTTTACCTTCAGATGTGTGTGTGGTGTTAAATGAATCATTCTGTTGAAATCTAATATTTGAGTCCAACATTAAAGCTTTTCTTTTTTTGCAGATGATATTCTGTGGTTTAAGCCTGTTGAACTACGTACAAAATGGGGACGAAGAGGACACATCAAGGAAGCTTTAGGTATGAAAAAACAACAACAAAAAGTCAGCTGTGGAGAGAGAGAAATTTTTAGAACTGGTTTCACAGACAGGGTTTAGATTAAGCCAGGATTAGGTCTTAGTTCAATTAGACATTTTAGTAGTTTTTTTAAAACGTGCCTTAGGAAAAAAAACATTACTGGTGTGCAGACGAGAACAATGACACTGACATATTTTAAGATATGTCACTGAAGTTACTTTCAGTTAAAACAGCTCAAACATGGATTTTAGTCTGGGAATATTTTAAGCCTTGTCTGTGAAACCAAGGGACAATGAACTGAATATTTACTAAAGAATTTACTAGCATTTTAAACATGACAATGCAAACAAACTACAAACAAACAATACAAACATGGACATTTTTGTCCAATTAGATCACAAAATATTTTTTTTCATGATGATAATCTTATTATTATTAAGAATAATTCTAATTTATTTTATCAATAAAAATAAGCTTACAATAATAAACAATATTATCATCATTAGTAATAGTATTTTTTTTATTGAATAAAATGATTTAATAATTCATGAATATTTTAAATATTAAGCATTTAAAGGTACAATATGCAAGATTTTTTCTCCACCAGGGGTCATTAACCTCTTACAATAACAAAGGCGTATATTTATGACGTATATTCAGCATTAAGCGGAATTATGGATCTTGTCGTCAAGCTGATGGATCTTTTATGGATGAGTGAATACGGTGATGTTTTTAACATGACTAGTATGAAGCAGTGCACGATTGCTAGACGTATACCAGCGGCAGACGCAACGCGAGTCCCGTGGATATAATGGAATAACCGATAACATTTCATTTTACCGAACTACACGCAAGTGCTCACAGGGGTCAGCGCTGCTTCACTTGCTTTAACAGTTACACTATCACACTAAACGGGATTTGAGTGTGTTGAATGTTGTTATTTAGGTTGTTTGTTGGCTGTATGAGACTAAGCTAGATTAACATTAGAGAATAACATAACGTTACAGATCATATTCTAACTTTTCACCATGTTAAACTATATAACATTGATTAGTTTGCTCAACATTTGATCACCTGTTTAATAAAGTAACCTGCAACACTCACATCTCTAAGTCGAAGTTAGTCGGCATCTCGAAAGATGTTGATTTTCGTTTTAGTCCTCTTTTTGTCTCAAAGTCTGCTTGCCATGGCCCATAATGTTTGAACAAAACAGCGTGAGCGTCCTTCTAGGCATAACGAACATAACCGACCCAGTTTTCAACATCTGTCGCCATGGTTACTTTTGCAGTATGAGGTCAAACCTGGTGGAAACCGTGGGGTAACACGGATATGATGCAATTGACTTGCGACTCATCACCCCATCTCACACGGCCCGTTTCCTTGGTTAAAATCGCAATTTCTCACGATTTACAAATAGTTGAAAACATTTGGGATATTGTAAGAAATCAACTAAACAAAATATATAACATTGGCCTAGTGGTTTTTGGATATTTTACTGCAAAAATCCTGCATATTGTACCTTTAATTAAACTTAATAATTTTAATGATAATCATAATAACTGTATTATAATTTTTTTGTGTATTTAAGATTAATAATAATACATATTCAGAATGCTTATTTTATTGTTGAAGTCTAATGATTCTTTAGTTATATTCATCAAAACCCTGATTTAAAGTCTCAGTTCAGAATATATACACAAATTAATGAGTTTTGTTCATAAATAATATTGGTAGAAATAATACTTAGATTATGATTGTAACAAAATAGCTCACAAAACTGCATTTTTCTTTTTAATTGTGGAGACAAAGAGGGAAAAAATACATTCTTAAATGGGTGATGGGGATGTTCCGAGTATTATAACACTTCTGTTTGTGCTTTTGCAGGTACTCACGGCCACATGAAGTGTGTCTTTGACAGTCAGTTGCGCTCGCAGGACACAGTGCTGATGAATCTGTATAAGAGGGTGTATCCTCGCTGGACCTATGACCCCTATGTCCCCGCCCCTCTGCCCTGGGTCAAGAGAGAGGAGCCACCGGCGTTCTGTGACATTGACATGGATTAGAGGCAGGAAGTTATGAACTGAAAGCAATGGAAGCATAACATGACACTGACTGCTTGTGTCACAGCTACTCGGATATTGATTCTCTGTACTTTAATTGACAATTAAATGTCTATATATAATATCTGTGCTTGTTTGAGTGTTCTTCAAGCATTTCCCATAGTTTCATTTGATCAAATCCCTCAGTGACCACTAGATGGCAAACATGTATTAAAGTGAAAATGGTTTCTTTCCTCAGAGTAAGAGTGACATTCCTTTTTGAGTCTGGGATGTTTTTAATATGTCAGTACAGACATAACGGTGTTGGTTACTTACACTTTTTTTTTTGTTAACCAGTTAAACGCATCCTTAGCAGTGTTGTGGAGGACCATAGAAAAAAAAAGTGTGAACTGAACTAAATTCCTCTCAAAAGCCAAAGGGAGAGTGTCTTTTATGAGGGAGGCAGTGGCGCAAACCCACATCTAAACTCTTTGTAAATACTGTCATTGCAATCTTTTACTTCTCATCATTTAGCTCAAACCAAACCTCACGCTGGCTGGAATATTATCTCCCTCAAGTATGTCCTCAACAACAACTGGAGCCTTTACTGTCCTCTGGCTGCCATCGTTCAGAATCGTTGGCAACGGTGAGGGATGATTATCGCTGGTGAACGAATGCATAGCGACTATAATTTATGCTGCGATATGCAGATGACCGTGAGCTTCTATGGGCCTCTATGGCACAGATGGAGCGTGTATGTGTGCCGTCTGCACTGTTATTCCCCTTCATTCCTACAGACTCTTCCACCACTCCCTCTCCCTGGTGGTTCCCTGACCTGAAGCCCACAATCTACACTCTCTCACACAGGGAGCGTGACCCTCCGTTGTTTTCTCGCCGGATCCCCAAATGTTTTACAGTTCTCTTTCTTTCTCTCTATCCCTCTCTACCCCCTCCCCTCGCTCTTTTGCTCTTCGGAGAAACAATGATTTATGAATAGTAATATTTATCATAAAACAGTGCTCTTGCATGCTTGCAGCTACATGATTCATCCCCAGGTTCTGTTGGGACCACACCACAGACGCATGCCAATATGTCTGGGAAAAGAGAAGGTGAAGCTTTGGGCTCAAAAAACACAATGTGATCCAAGAAACGGGGTATCAAAAGTTCAATATGTACATTTTATCCTGCGCTGTGAATTTGATTATGGTGGAAAAAGTCAAATAATGATAAAACAATCGCACTAGGGTAATACTTCTTCATTGCCTAGGGGTGCACTCGAAGCTCTGGACGGTTTAAGTTGAGGCACTCCATTTATTTTCTCGTTCATTTTTTAAGCCGTAGTGCACCGGGGGCATTGAGCGGGGATGTGTTAAATACATCTTGTTTAAAGCTGAATGGGGTGTGGTATGCCTGGCCAAATGTTCATGATCTAGAGAGGAAATCTAATCCTCCCACACTGGAGATTGTCCTTAAAGAAATATTCCAGGTTCAACGCAAGTTAAGCTCAATCGACAGCGTTTGTGGCGTGATGTTGATTAGCAGTAAAAATTAACTTTTCACCCCTTGTTTTCTTGTAAAAAAAAGGTACTTTCATTGGAAGTCAATGGAGCCAATATGTAAACATTAATAATCAGTGTTTCAATACCAATGATAACATGATTTTGTGATTTTCTATGTGAAGGTATTATCTTTGTTTTACACTTACACAAGGAAAACCCCAAAAAAGGACCATAAAAATCAGATTCTGCATTTAAATCTGTCAGAAATTGCCTCAATGTAACCTTGAACGCAGAAATGTGATGTTTGTAATTTCATATAAGCACTTATATGAATGACTCTTCTGTTAAAACTAAAATTGTTCTCATTATGTTTAAGTTCGTTTTAAGGTTTTTGTTGTTTTGCCAACAAAGTTGTCAAATTGAAATTAAAGGACAAGTTCGGTATTTTACACTTAAAGCTCTGTTTTAAGATTAGTTTCTGGTGAAATTTGGACAAATGCTGCTGGCCCGGGAATTTTTGGTTTCTGTGTTAGCACCCCACCTCCACAATGGTTGTATATGTGCACAGGAACAATCCTTCATAAAACACATTAAACTTTAGTTTAAAAAGAAGTGAAATTCACCGAGTGGTCTGAGGTGTTCACTGATATGCTCACACAAAAATCGCTGCAAAAGATGCTTTCCAGCAGGTTTTATCGTACTTTTTGTTCCAAGTCGAGTCAAAAGTCAGAAAAAAACTTTGATATTGTTTAGATTTTGTGGCTTTACTTTTGAAACTGAGTATTTGAATCTTTACGAATTGGCCCCATTCACTTCCATTGTAAGGGCCTTACTGTAACCTTGATTTGTTCTTGTCTTTTTTTTTTTTTTTTAGGAAAGCAAGGGACATGTCAACAATAATTATCCGTGGTAATCATCTTTATGCCACAAAAACTGTGAGCTGAGCTTCACTTGTATTGACCCCTGAAAGTTCCTCTAAAAACATGCGTGGAATGGGATTGTCGAGTTTTTCCTCCACTTGAGCCCCACCGCGCACCAGAAACATCCGCTTGAGATTAACGTGGAAATGTTGAATTGTGTTTTGGCTGATCGAAAGCAAAATGTTTGTGACAGTGAGGGACAAACTACATGGAGGTATATTGGACAGCTCTCATATGAGCATGAGATTGGTTTCGACCACAGTCAGAAGGAGTTAATGCGGGTGGCTTGGGGCCTCTTAGACCAGGAATGTCCTGTGGTTCCCAGTTCACTGCCACCACACACAGCTGGATCCCACTGAAGACATAATGGGTGAAAGATTTTTCCAGTGGAAGAGGAGAGAGAGAGTAAAAAAGGAAAGAGAGAGAGATGGATTGCAGGGGAGGAAGAGATAAGAGGAGAACCACTGAGTGTTTAAATTGAATGTAAAACAGAGATTGTGCAGGAGTATAATTTAAGTGCCGCTCAGTTGGGAAAACAAGAATAAGCAAATATGTTTGAGAGGAGGAGGAGGAGGGGGATGGAGGGGTGTGAGAAGGAGATGGAGAGCAAGAGTGGCTGGCGTTTATGGATAGCAGATGTGGCGCTGTGGGATTTTGGCAGGGGCCAATGGTGCCTGAGTCCTGCACTGGCTGGGTGGCACCAGGGTGAGAGTGAGGTCAGAGCACCGCAGCACACAGCCCATAAAACACCGCAAGTGGGACGCATGACTGGGACGGCAATACGCCACAGAGAACAACTCTTCAATACCGGAGCAACAGCTCAAGATGGAACTCTTCTAGCAGAAAAGGGGAAAAACAAGAAAACTATGAAATCATGATCTATCCACTATCCATGATCTATTCTTAATCATGAAAAATATGTTACTTAAAGGGATTGTTCACTTTAAAATTAATTTTTGATATGTTTTAGCTTACCTCAAGGGCATTCAAGATGTAGGTGTCTTTGTTTCCACAGTATTTCAATTGCGATATTTTTAGGTCAAACCGTTCGTGTCTATGAACGGTTTGACCTAAAAATATCCAACGGTTTGACCAAATCAAAATATGGTCACCACCTCAAAGAGCATGCACAGAGAAGTCCAAATTAAACATGATTTAATGACTCGTAAATGTAAGTACACATTGATGGCCTACGACACGAAACGAGCGGTTTGTGTGAGAAAACGAACAGTATTTATATCATTTTTACCTCGTGTAGCCACAGCCACGTCCAAGTGATATGAGGGTGAGGGCACTTCGGTCTGCGCAAGCGCCGGAAGTGATCTCTCGCGCGTGTACGTCACTCATTGTTTACACAGAGATTTCGGAAGTGTTACCTTTAAATGTGCAGATCTAAACATATTTAGATATACAGCAAATGGCAATGGAAGACGATTTTGATAGATGAACAGAAAAAGTTATTTTTTTTTCCCGCAACCGTGCGAGGGATCATTTCCGGCGCTTGCACAGACCGAAACACCCGCAACCTCAGATAACTTGGATGTTTGCTGTCTGTCTGACAGACAAGAACGGGTTGACTTAAAAATATCAAAATTGAAACTACTGCGGAAACAAAGATACCTACATCTTGGATGCCCTTGAGGTAAGCTAAAACATACCAAAAATTAATTTCAAAGTGAACTATCCCTTTAATGTCTTTTAAATAGTTACCAAAAGTTACCAAAGCTAAAAAGTTCAACTTAAACATTTCACTTTCTGTTTTTAGTTAGCCTTGGTTAGCATGCTAACAATTTAGCTTAGTCTAACCTTTTAAAATTACATAGCACATACAGCATGTCAAACATACCACTAATCTTAGCTCTTAAATTAGCTAGAACAAGGTATCATGATAACACGCCACGTTTCCAATCGTTGATGAAGGAGGGGATGTTGCAAAATTCCAAAATTTTCGAAAATAATGACTTTTTCCTTTCCTGTGACGGCAAAGATGAATTTTTAACAGCTATTACTCCAGACTTAAGTGTCACATGATCCTTCAGAAATCATTCTAATATGCTGATTTGCTGAAACATTTTTTATTATGTTAAAAACAGTGCTGCTTTATATTTTTGTGGGAACCCTTTTACATTGTTTCAGGATTCTTTGATGTATAGAAAGTTCAAAAGAACAGCACTTTATTTGAAATAGAAAACTTTTGTAGCATTACAAATGTCCTTACTGTCGCGGGAGGAGGAAAAGCGCTACTATTACACTTCATACTCTTCTGTTAAGGCACCCTTTTCTTGCCACATCTAGTTCTCAACCATAACCTCTCAAAATTCCTTGGTAAAATCAAACATCCTGTCATTTTCTGTACACTCGCTCTCCCTTTATCTCTTTCTGTCTCTCTCGCTGTCTTGTTCCCCCTTCCTCTCCCCTTACCCTGGCCCTGACTCCCTGGTTCCTGGGGCCTGGCCAAGGCGTGTGTCCCCGAAGGAGCCAGTGAGGAGATGGAGAGAGGGGGCAGAGCAGGGGCTGAGAGACAGGCTCCAAAACCACAGCTGCGGCAGCCCTGCCTCGCCTTCCTCTCTCCTGTCCTCTCTCACTCTCTCTCTCTCTCACTTCACTTGAGTTTGCGAGGAGCTGGCCTGGCACACGCCCCAGCTCTGCCATTAATCAGAGGAGAGGGGTAGTGTGTGTGTTTGTGCTGATAGAGAACTGGCTGGAACGGGGGTGGTATGGAGACCAGGACCTCCCAACAAAGCAGTGGAGTTCACCCAGCGAGCGAACAGGGGAGGGAGTCTGACAGACAAAAAGCCTGGTGCGCAGATCGTGATTCTTCGGCGAGAGAGGCGGAGATGA